AAGATAAAAACAAAAACAACAAAACAATAGAATATGATCAAATATGATCAGGCTGGTGCATAGATCAGTGCCACACACTAGATTTTGGGTGTATTTTGGTCTGTTAGGAGAAAGTGCCTCCCAAAATTTTAAAGAAAAACTTATATATGTACAAAAATAAGGGTTAATACGATGAAGGGATGGAATATGACTGTAAACATGAAAATTATAAAAGATTTTATAAAAGGAATTGATAAGAAGTTGTTTGAAAAAAGAAGAGGATTTAAAAAGAAAAAGATAATGTGATCAGGCAGGAGACTAGAACAAAGCCATACACTAGAGATTTAGGGTATATTTTGATGTTAGAAGAAACCATATCTCAAAATTTTAAAGAGAGAACAACTTATATATATATGCCAAAAATAAGGGTAACTACTATGAAGGGATAGAATATGACTCTAAAAATGAAAAATAAAAATGTTTTTTAAAAAAAAAGGGATTGATAAGATGTTGGTTGAAAAAGGGAAAAAGAAAAATTCAAAAAAAAAGTTAAAAAAAATTAAATTTGAAAGACTAAAGAATCATGGTAAAAAAAGCCATGAATTCTATGTGCAGTATTCCCCTAGCGCTGGAGTTCTGCTGTTCTCATTGTTTGGTAAACTTGGTCTTGGCTGGCTATTCTTGCTGATCTTCTGGGGGAGGGTCCTTTTGCCGTGGTTTCCAAATATCTTTGCCGGAGGTGGAATTGCCCCGCCCTTGTCGGTCCGGGCTAAGCAATCTGCTCAGGTTTGCTCTCGGGAGCTTTTGTTCCCTGCAAGCTCTTGGTACAGCTTTGGAGGACGAGAGTGAAAATGGCGGCCTCCCAATCTCCACTCTGGAGGACCCGAGAACTCGGGGCCCCGCTCCTCAGTGTGCCCCCGGAGAAAAGCAGTCAGTCACTCCCGTCTCCCCGGTCTCCGGCCGCACTGCGTGCTCACCCGGCCTGTGACCGAGTGTTTCTATCTCTGGCACCCGACCCGGTGTGGAGTCTCCACACCCAGCAGATCCCTGCGGTGTGCTCCCACACCACTCCTCCCCGGGGAGGAAGGGGAGTCTTCCCGGATCTGCCGCTTGTTGGGTCCCTGCTGGAAGAGCAGTGGCCTGACTGTGCCGTGGATCACAGTTTAGGGCAACCCCGAGCTGAGAGCCCACGCCTTGGCTCTGTCTCTGCAGCTGGCTTCCCCGCTCTGATACCCGGGAGCTCTGCCACACTCAGGCACCCCTGGTCTTTCTATGACCCCGAGGGTCCTGAGACCACACTGTCCCGCGAGGGTTCCATCCCCCGCTTAGCCACTGGAGCGACGTCCCTCAGCAGAGCCGACTTCTAAAAGTTCCGATTTTGTGCTCTGGGGCTCTATCACTTGCCAGAAGCAGCCGACGGAGGCTCCCTCCCCCACCATCTATCCTCCAGAATATCGCCTTGGATTCACTTCTCCGCACGTCCTACCTTCCAGAAAGGGGTCGCTTTTTTGTTCAGCGAGTTGCTGCTCTTCTTTTCTTCGATCTCCTGTTGAGTTCGTAGGTGTTCAGAATGGGTTTGATCCCTATCCAGCTGAATTCCTGGGACCAGACGAAATCCAGGTCTCCTACTCCTCTGCCATCTTGCTCCGCCCCCACCCTATCGCCATTATTTTACATGAGGAAATGAAGTCCGGAAAGGCGAAGTAAATCATCCAAAGTTCTTTCTGCAGTCTGCACTGGAACTGGGGTACTGCAATCCACACAGCCCATGATCTTTCAAAGATGCCACATATCCTTGGGTGAGAATCCTGCCTGGGAAGGGCTCAATTTTTACATGAGGGCTAAAATACTGCAGTAACAAATGACTCCAAAATCCTTATGCTTTAATGCTTAAAAGTTTATTATTCTCTCACATCAAGCCCAGGAGGTGGAGTGGGGTTTTTGCCGAGAACACCCCACCCACCAAAGTGGAGGAAGAAGAAGCCTGGAGCATCATGCAGGGCTCTTCACGGCCTCAGCCCAGGAGCCCTGCCTCACTTCCTCTCATACCTCATTGGCCAGATGCAGTCACGTGACCCGCCCACAAACGGCAGATGGCTGAGGCCAAGTGTAGCCTCCAGGATGCTGAGCAGGCAAAGGAGAGCTGGGCTTAGTGAGCACTGATAATGACTCCCACAGAGCCTTTGCTGAAAAGACAGTGACTGAAAAGGTCTTTTTGGGGAGTAACCCGGAGATGATACTGAGTAAAATGTGGGCCAAGGGGGAACATTTACCCGTTCATTTAATGGGATTGCAGGGTACTAGGGCTAGGTTCTGGGATTCAGGGATAAGAGTTGGAGCCCCTGTCCTCTGTGAGCTCATGGTCACTGTATGTAATCATTGTACTACCATTTCATGCACTATAGGAGCCCAGTGGGGACCTAAATGAGGGAAGCTGGGGTGGCCTCAAGGAGGAGGTAACAGTAAAACAAATGATAGTTGAAGGAGGCAAGGATTAAACTCTCGGTAGGCTAGGGATCACATTACAGGGACCTTATGTGGGTCAGTATCATCACTACTACTCATGGGACTCCCACCTCCTTTTAGAGTCCAGGCACAGAACAGGGAACTCTTAAAAAGACAACTGAGTCAGATCAGGGAAAAGTTAATATAGATGGATTTTTTCCTTAAACTCATAATCACATACTCAATCTCCTTCATGGCAAGAGAAATGCAAATTGAAACTACACTAAGGTAGCATTTATCACCTATCAGACTGGCAAAAATCCCAAATGACAGCATATTCTGTTGAGGTTTTGAGAAAAGAGGCATTCCCATACACTGGAAGAGGGAGTGTATATTGATATCATTCCTAGCAATGGGGAATTGGGCAACATTTGTCAAAATTTAAAGTGCATATACTCTTGGACCTAACCATTTCACATGGAGGAATTTATCCAATAGATATATATTTGTGCACATATGAAATGTGTACAAGATTATTCATTGTCACATTATTAGTAAAAGATTGGAAGTGATCCAAATGTCCATAAGAAACTGGTTAAATAAATTATAATTTTATACACAGTAGAATATTATACAGTGGTAAAAAAGAGGAAGCTTATGATGTACTAACACAAAACAGTCTCCAGGATATGAGCTAAGTAAAAAAATTAAAGTACAATAAAGTATGTAAAAAGCTACCATTGGTGGAAGAAAGGAGAAAAAAGGAAATCTGTATTCATAAGAATGCTGAAGTATAACTTTCAGGATAGGCTAGGTAATGCTGCAGTAACAAGTGACTAAAACATTTCAGTGGTTTATACAACTTTTTTTTTTATTGTCCACACCCAGTGTCCATTATATATTGGCTTTGGCTCTGATCCACATACCACCCCCACTGTGAGACCCAGGCTGATGGACCAGGCCCTAAGGGAACCTGGCAGGTTTCATGGCAGAGGGAAAGGGACATGGCAAACCAGGAACTGGCTGTGAAGTCTTCCACATGAGTGTGAACCGGATAATACTTCTGCCCACCTTTCATTGGCCAAGCAAGTCACAGGAGCACTACTGAATACAACAGGGCAAAAAAAAATGTGCATCTTGCAGAGAAGGGTTCCCTACGTCACATAGGCAAGTCTATGGACAATAGGACAGGCATGTATAAGCCTCCCACTGGGAGGGGAAACAACTAATAATGGACAATAATGCAATCTGGCACTAAGAAATTAACATAACAGTGACTACTTGTGGGATGGGATATTGGAAACTGGGTAGACAGGAATAAGATGGACACTTTCACTTAATACATATGTATATTTGAATTATGTAAATATATTATCCAAAGAAAAATGTTGCCGAGTAGCTACATAAAAATATATCCAGATCAGGGGCACCTGGCTTGCTCAGTTGGAAGAGCACGCAACTCTTGACTCAGTTGGGGTTGTGAGTTCAAGTCCCACATTGAGTATAGAGATTACTTAAAAATAAATAGATAAAAATATATCCCGATCTCCTTTTCCTGTGATGTGAACTTTGGACACATCATCCAAATGCACTGATAAGCTCCTGACATCTTACTGATAATAATTCCTGCTCAGAGGCATGTGAAGGTCAGCAAACGGGACCCGTCCCATGGCAGTTCTCCATGCTCGATGCCAGGAAGAGTAACTGCAGGGGCTTTGCAGGGAGAAGCAGGAGTCTGTATCTGGTTTATCTGGTTTGACGACTCAAGTGACTGGGTGGAGAGCATCGTAGCCCCAGACCTTCACCAAGTGTGGGATATGGGGGACTCTGAGATGAATAAACAAATAATAGGCCCGGGACAGTTGGCATGAGTGGACACAGCAAGTGAGCAAAACTCCTGGGAAAGCAGAGTAGAGCCCCGGGGAAGCAAGACCAGGAATGAGATCTAAGAGAGAAGGAGAGCTATTAACTGAAAAATGAGCTGTAAGGTTGGAAGCATGGATCAGGAACGGAAGCACAGGGTGAACTGAGGAGCAGTTCAAGGCCAAAGACCAGACCAGTGAAAGGAGCCAAAGCCCCCCGTTTCTAGGCAGCCAGCTGACGGGGCAGGCTGTCCAAGGGCTGAAAGAATGCTCAGGACCCCACAGCGGCACGGGGCAGGGGCCACCCTACCACGGGCTAGACCACAAGAACCCTGTGATGGGGATTCAGAATCCCATCCTGTGGCTCAAGAGTTTCAAACCCCCGGGGATCTTACAGGGGCAGCCTGAAAGCCCCCCAGGGGTAGCAGGGATTGTTTGAGGGGTTAAAACAGTCATCAGAAGCTCTGGGTGTTATATGCAACTGAAGAATCATTGAACACTGTATCAAAAACTAATGATGTACTATATGGTGGCTAACTGAACATAATCCAAAAAAGAGAGTGTAAAAAAGTAAATAAAACTGTCATCCGTGTGCATGGCTGCTACACTTGCAGACGCTCTGGAGACACTGGGCCTTCGTGGCCTGTCCATGGAGATGGTGGGCTCTGCTGTTGATCACTGTCTCCCATGCCACCACCCCGTTTCCTCCTCCAGTACCACTTCAACCCCTCACAGTCCGTCCTGGTGATGGAAGGTGACGACATTGGGAACATCAATCGCGCCCTCCAGAAGGTGTCCTACATCAACTCCAGGCAGTTCCCGACGGCGGGTGTGCGGCGCCTGAGAGTCTCTTCCAAAGTCCAGTGAGTAGACAGACGCTGGTCAGCCAGGGGCCCCAGCTGAGGCGGTGGGGACGGTCCCTGGGGAATGTTCCCTGGCAAAACAGAATTCATCTTTTGTCCACTATTTGCAGTTTCTCTGCTATCCTGATGAGGATGCCCCAGTGGATCTGTGTTCTCTTCTTGTTTTCTTCAGAAAGAAAATGTTCCGTTGCTTTGCCAGCACAAATCCAGCTTTCTCTATTTAATTCAGAATCCAGTGTAGTACTGCACCCTATAAATTCTCAGAAAGCTCGGTTTTTAGTGGTCTGACTTAAGGTTACAGAAGCTGGTACATAGTAGGTACTTGACAAACGTTTATTAAATTGGATTAAATCAACCAACCCAGCTTTGTAGAGCAACTAAATACCACAAATATGCAAGAGAAAGGGAGTTCTTGTCCCCAGGGGATCAGAGTTCAGTAAAGGAGATGAGACTCTTTACTAGTGAAGCCTGTGGATAATTCCCTTCTTGGTCCATCAAATCGTTTCTCAGCCACAGCAACTGCCTGGTAGGGCAGCAAGGATGGAACCCCAGAAAAACTCCTGGCAGGCAGAAGGGGAGTCACCTAGTCCCTGGAGCCGGGAGAAGCCAGAGGACAGGAACAAGGCTAGGAAAGACGGGTCTGCTGACGGCCACGTTACTGGGGCAGGGACAGGTGCCAGGCTAAACCCCACAGGCAGCAATCATATTCAATAGTTCTAGTGACAGAGGAGGCACGCCCCCCTTTACACTAAGGGCCACCCTTGGAGGCCTGCCATAGGGAGCAAGCACCTCCAGCTCAGCTCCGCACTGCAGTCAAAGAGAGGGACCAGGCTTCCATAAACTGACAAGCGGCACAGTGCCCTCGGGGACTGGTGCAGCGAAGACCAGACAAAACCAGGGGCAGGAACACACCACCGCTCCCACAACTTGCCCACCCCAAAGAAGAGGGAGTTCCCCAGCATGGTGTCCACCCAGACTGCACTTCCCTCAGGAACTTTCCCAAGGGCTACAAGTTGACAGCCGCCACCAGCTGGAGTCCATCCAGCGTTCCCAGAGCAGCCATCTGGGCCCTGGCGCTCTTGTAGCCTAGGGCTTTGGCCCAGATGAGCAGCAGAGTGCCAGTGACTCGCATGCCTGATGCAATCTGATGAGGGTGTCAGGTCTGCCAACATTTACTGAGCTCCACCCACGACGCAGCCTCTGGCATCGGCTTCTTTTCTATATGTCAGCACATTTAATCCTTGCTATTATGAGGTAATTAATTCTTGTCATCCCCACTGTATAGATGGAGAAACTGAGGTTCCCAGGAGTCACACCTTGCCCAGGGTCACCCAGCCCCACAGTGGCAGAGCCAGGCCATGGACCTTGTCTAACTTCCCAGGCCTTGCTCATGCGGTCACAGCATTCTGCCTTCCAGGTATTTCTGTGGCAGTGTATCAGGAGAAAGGAGATGATCCGTGGCACATCTACAACAGGGGCACTGTGGGAGCTCCTCGTAGAGAGACAACATGCACGAGCACAAGAGAGTTCAGCCCTGGGGCGTCAGCAAGATGCCTGTACCCAACCAGTTAGACGGCAATTTGCTTACCAAATCCTAGTGCACATACCAAGCAGTGGCTAATTAATGTTACCACTGATTACTTTGTTAAAGGATAATTAAGGGTTTAGCAGTTACTTGTTGCTGGGACCGAAGATTCCCAGTTCTCCCAGAGGCCAATCCTCTTAAGTCCCTAGATGGCTATTAGTTTTGACTATCATGTGGCTTTCAATCTGAATGTCTGTTGATACCCTCTGAGATTCCGAGGCAGTCCAGAGACCTTGGCAAGGATGAGAGGTGGTTGTGTGTCTCCTCGTCCCCGGCCACGTGGTGGATGCATCCATGGCTCGCTCTTCAGTGCCGTGACCGCAACTGTTTTCCCAGGTGCTTCGGAGAAGATGTGTGCATCAGCGTCCCCGACATGGATGCCTATGTGATGGTGCTGCAGGCCATTGAGCCCCAGATCAGCCTCCGGGGCACGGACCACCTCTGGAGACCCACCACCCAGTTTGAAAGTGCCCGAGGGGTGACCCTCTTCCCGGACCTCAAGATCGTGAGCACCTTTGCCAAAGCCGAGGCCCCGGGTGACCTGAGGACCACAGGTACAGATGCACACTGGGTCATGGGGCGGGAGCCTTCCACTCTCAGAGCCACGCCAAGTCCTACTTCAGGCCAATAGCATTGTTCACCACGGCAGGGAATTTCTGATAGCAAAGCAAACAAACCTGCAAACAACACAAGTAACTGGAGGGAAATGAACTATTTGGCAAATAACTGGTCCACCCATGTACATGATAGGATGTTGGAGGGAGGACATTTATGCCAAATGGTAAATGAAAGAAAGCAAGATGCAAATTACAGAGTACCTACAACACACACCGAAAAATGCGAAGAAGAAAACACACCTGATGCAAACAGTGCTGTTCTCTGAGACGCCTAAGAGCCAATTTGTCTCCGCTCCCCTTCACTTGGCTGCAAATGCAAAATGTTCAATAGTGAGCATGTATTATTTTGATGATCAGAAGAAAAGCTAAAGAGGCACAAAGAAAACATTTAGCTGCACCTTAACAGACTCACAGTGAAAGTCAGGTCTGATCCAGCAGCATTAGTCTCAGCTCTCAGGGAACTCTCCAACATGTCCATTATTGGGAGGGCTACTGATGGAGGCAGAGTAATTGGAATGATCTGCCGGGGAGAAACACTCCGTTGCACGGAAAGCTATGGTGCACTCAGCTGGTGGGGAGGGGGTGGTGACAGGAAGGATAAGGAAGGGAGAAAGGGAAACCCAGGGCCCAGATCTACAGGGGAGGTACCCATTTAACCATCCTCTGCGGCCTCCTCCAGGAGAGGACTTCTAGCTCTCCCTCTCTGCCTCCAAAGCAGCTGCTAATGATGTGCTGGAGCCCATGGGCCTGAGTCCCTGAAGGGCTGCTCCTCTAACAGTCCTAATTGCTCACTGCCTTAAACCACCCTGGTCCCTTGGGAATGGGGTGCCTCCAATGCAGCCCTTCTTAGCTCATGACAATAGATGGCGTCTTCCAAGTGTCCCTGCCAGGACAGGGCCCTTGCCTAGTGACACTCCCAGGTGCATTAGGGCCTGTGAGCTTTCCCTTCCCCTCATTTGGAGCCACAATCAGATGGGAAAAGGAAGGGCCTCTGACCACGGTGGTTGCAGGCTATAACTGGGAGCGTGTGGACGTGCTAGGCCTGCCCCTGGCTGACAGGCAATGCCAGGGAAAAGCAATTACCTGGGGCTCTAACTCACCTTCTGTTTATGAGAGGTGGGGGCAGAGCACAGAGCCACGTGCCCGAGAGCTCTTATGGGTACTTTCTACATCTTCCTCTTATTGTTGTTAGGATAATCATTGTTATGGATGCCTTAAGTAAGGAGGCTCACGGTATTTGCCAGCAGGCCTCAGTGACCCACCCCAGCAACATCTTCTGCCCCTACTGACCTCCTCCTCTGTGTACCAAAGACAGGCAAGTCCCCCATGTACGCCCCTCTCTCTCATACCTCTGCGTTCTCACCTTTGCTCAGGCCCTACCCTCTGCCTGGTAGGTCCCTGACCCTCCCCATCCGCGTTACTGCTGGCAAACATCTCCCCCACCAGCACCCTGCCCCCTCGACTGGGCTAGCTCTCCTGCTCTGTACGCCCCCCATGACTGATGCTTCCCTGCCCAACCCTCCCCCGCCGCCACGTTTGCTAGCCCTTGGTGGCAGTTATCGGTTAATGAAGCCAGACCAGGGGCTCCATGAGCGCTCAACCAAGGCTGATTCGCCTCTAAATGCCTGAGCCCAGCACAGTCCCTTCAGCACAGTGGGAATCAAGAGAAGTACAGATGGAAGATAGAACCTGTAATGTATCCACAGAAGAACAATGAGAAAATGCTCAACATTTATACCATGCCCCCTACCTAGTGTGAGCAATCAGCCGGCCACATGGGGAGGTAGGAGTAAGGATGACCTAAACTGACCTGGTAAGAAGCTGGCAAAAAACTCCAGAAACCATGCAAAGGCCATTTGAAATACAGATACACATATGCTATCGCTAATGATAGGCCTTCAATGTATATTAATGTGATTTTAGATTTTGCCGGTGAAACATGAAGCCACTGAGAATGACAAGCATCTAAAAAGCATATGAAATTATTTATAATAATGTAGATCTGGTGAGAGCAAAAAATATTTTTGGTATCACTAAAAAATTAAAATAGAAAATAATTATTTAAAGTAATTCTCTCCTCTTTTGTAAATCCTTTTTAATTTCTATTTTCATAAATGTTTTATAGTATACAAAATATATTAGTCCACTTTATAAATAAATAATTTTACATATTTAAATGATCTCAGTTCAGAAATTTTTCCCAAAGGGCTGCAAAATCAAAAGCATTTGAAGACTACTAGCCCAAAGGTTATGAATTTATAAACTGTGGAATCAGAAAGTCATGGCTTCTGTCCCAGCTCTTCCCCTAATATCTGTGTAAGCCTGGGCAATCTGCCCTACCCCCCAGACCTTCCACTTCACCGTTGGTGAAATGGGGATAATAATAGTACCCCATTTAATATCTGTTAGGATTGTTTGCACAGTGCCTGGCCCATAGCAAGCACTCCATAAATACCACTTTTATTATTTTCTTAAATCCAGTATAGTTAACATGCAGTGTTATATTAGTTTTGGGTGTACAATATAGTGATTCAACAATTCTGTACATCATCCAGTGCTCATCACAAGTGCACTCCTTAATCTCCTTCACCTATTTCACCCATCCCCCACCCACTTCCCCTCTGATAACCATCAGTTTGTTCTCTAGAGTTAAGGGTCTGTTTTTTTGTCTCTTTTCTTCTTTGTTCATTTGTTTCTTAAATTCCACATATAAGTGAAATCATATAGTATTTGTCTGACTTACTGCATTTCAAGATTCATCCATGTTGTTGCAAATGACAAGATTTCATTCTTTTTTATGGCTGAATAATATTACACACACACACACACACACACACACCACTTCTTTATCCATTCATCTGTCGATGGACACTTGGGCTGCTTCCATAATTTGGCTATTGTAAATACTGCAATAAAAGTAGGGGTGCATAGGTCTTTTCAAATTAGTGTTTATGCATTCTTTGGGTAAATACCCAGCAGTGGAATTACTGGATCATATGGTGGTTCTATTTTTCATTTTTTGAGGAACCTCCATACTGTTCTCCACAGTGGCTGCACCAGTTTGCATTCCCACCAATAGTGCGTGAGGATTCCTTTTTCTCCACATCCTCGTCACTTGTTGTTTCTTGTGTTTTTTATTTTAGCCATTCTGACAGGTGTAAAGTGATGTCTCATTGTGGTTTTGATTTACATTTTCCTGATGATGAGTGATGTTGAGCATCTTTTCATGTGTCTGTCAGCCATCTGTGTATCTTCTTTGAAAAATGTCTGTTCGTGTCTTCTGACCTTTTATTGGATTATTTCTTTTGGGGGTGTTGTATAAGTTCTTTATATATTTTGGATACTAATCTTTTATCAGATATGTCATATGCAAATATCTTCTCCCTTTCAGTAGGTTATTTGTAGTTTTGATTACTGCTTCCTTAGCTGTGCAAAAGCTTTTTATTTTGATGTAGTCCCGTGGTTTATTTTTGCTTTTCTTTCCCTTGCCTCAGGAGACATATCTAGAAAAACGTTGCTATGGCCAATGTCAGAGAAATTACTGCATGCACTCTCTTCTAGGATTTTTATGGTTTCTGGTCTCTCAGGTCTTTAATACACGTTGAGTTTATTTTTGTGTATGTATGGTGTAAGAAAGTGGTCCAGTTTCATTCTTTTACATGTAGCCGACCAGTTTTCCCAACATTTGTTGAAGAGACTGTCATTTTCCCATTGTACAGTCTTGTCTCCTTTGTTATAGATTAATTGACTTATAAGCATGGGTTTATTTCTGGGCTCTCTACTCTGTTCTATGTGTCTTTTTCTGTGCCAGTACCATACTGTTTTGATTACCACAGCTCTGTAGAACATCTTCAAATCTGGGATTGTGGATTGTGATACCTCCAGTTTTGTCTTCCTTTTTCAAGATTGCTTTGACTATTTGGGGTCTTCTTTGATTCCATACAAATATTAGGATTGTTGTTATAGTTCTGTGAAAAGTGCTGTCAGTGTTTTGATAGGGATTGCATTAAATCTGTAGATTGCTTTGGGTAGTATGGACATTTTAACAATATTTGTTATTCCAATCCATGAGCATGGAATATCTTCCCTTTTGTGTCACCTTCAGTTTCTTTCATCAATGTTTTATAGTTTACAAGAGTACAGATCTTTTACCTCCTTGGTTAAGTTTATTCCTAGGTATTTTATTATTTTTGATGCAATTGTAAATAGGATTGTTTTCTTTTTAAAGATTTTATTTAAAGAGTGCAAATGAGAGAGCACACATGGGTGGTGGGGGGAGAGGGGCAGGGGGAGAGGGGTCAGCAGATGCCCCACTGAGTGGGGAGCCTGATGCAGGGCTCAATCCCAGGACCCTGGGATCATGACCTGAGCTGAAGGTAGACACTTAACCAACTGAGCCACCCAGGTGCCCCAAATGAGATTGTTTTCTTAATTTCTTTTTTCTGCTGTTTTGTTATTAGTGTATAGAAATGCAACAGATTTCTGTATACTGATTTTGTATCCTGCGACCATACTGAATTATCAGTTCTGGTAGTTTTCTGGTGGAGTCTGTAGGGTTTTCTAGGCATAGTATCATGTCAGCTGCAAATAGTCAAAGTTTTACTTCTTCCTTACCAACTTGGATGCCTTTTATTTCTTTTTCTTGTGTGATTGCTCTGGCTAAGACTTCCAGTACTATGTTTAATAAAAGTGGTAAGAGTGGATATTCTTGTCTTATTCCCAATCCTAGTGAAAAGCTCTGTTTTTCACCAATGAGTATGATATACCTGTGGGTTTTTCCTATATGGCCTTTATTATGTTGAGGTATCTTCCCTCTAACCCTACTTTCTTGAGGGTTTTTATCATGAATGGATGTTGTACTTTGTCAAATGCTTTTTCTGCATCTATTGAAATGATCATACAGTTTTCATCCTTTTCTCTTGTTGATGTGATGTACC